AGTGATCGCATGTTGGCCATTAGGCAACGCTGATTAGAACCGAGGCACATATTTCATGGCGTTTACATTCGATCAAGTCTGACATCCTGCTGCTGAGCGTGGCTTTCAGTATCCACTGGTTTCGGCTCAAGGCCCCTAAATTTCCTGGTGAAAAAGATGGAGCGATACGCTGTGCACGAGGCATAAAAGGCTCCAAGGTAATCAGTTAACAATTAATGAGGACACCTGAGAAATTAACTTTGAGCAAGTCCTTTTGCAAGCAAAGAGGGATGAGTAGGAGGAGTAAAGGAGGTGAGGAGCAGATGGCTACTCGCTCATTTGTTTGTTTTTCTGTTTGTTTGCATTCAGGGGAAAAAAAATCAATTTGTGTGGGAAAAAAAGAAATTGGAAACGAGAATGGATGGGCAATGTACCGAGAAGGCGGGAGGGTTGGAAGTTGGGAAATTGGGTTTACTCTGGTAAAAGAAATCTTTGATGGCAAAAGAAATTGGAAAGACTTGTATTGTATAAGCCCATAGCTGGAATTTGTACAACTGCAGCACTTGAAAATGTTTTTAGCACAAAAGAAATGGAGGTTTTGGACACAGTTTTATCTCTCTGTGAGGAGTTCAGCCAGTTCACTGGTGGAATGAAGATTTCTTAATAAATGAGTTGGACTAAACTCATTATCTCTCATTTCCTCATCACCTATAGACACTCCAGGGCCCTATGATAGTTCAGAAATTTGATTTGGTTTATCTGTGACATCATCAATTCTTGTGAAAACATACCCTCCCTTTCATGTAAAATGTAACCAAATGCATACCAAAGCCCAGTTTGGTGCCACCTGGGGTAAGTGGGCCCAGCAGATGTGCAAGTTAATATTCGTCAGCTATAAATGGGTGGATATGCTCATTTTAACATAATATGTACTGTTATATTGTGTTGGAAATGTGTAAGCTTATTTGACTATCAAAAAACAAACGTTACATTACTACAAAGTCTATTTGCCAGAATGATGGTAAGTTTTATTTGATGGGAAAATATCTTCTTATGCCACTTTTATTGTCTCACCAAAGAAAGTTCAAGACTGATTTAATCATAAATGCACTATAAATGCATATTTTTAAAAATAATTTTCAGAATGGGCATAGGAAAATTATATAAAAAACATTTATATATTTTTTTAAATGTTTACAAGTGCACTCCAACACCAGCTATAACACAACATTTAAAAACTATTTAATTCCCAACTCATTGCATAGTAATACTTGGCCATCATCACTTTTTTTTAGTATCATTTCCAACATGCATGGAACAGCTAAGGAATACCGTGTTGTATTAATGAAGATGGTAAATAGACTGGTTCACATGTGGCACTCTTATACTTCACAAGTAGAGTAGCTCTTCTTTTTTTCTATGTCTAAGTGCTTTTGTCTAACATTCACACTAAGATGAACACGTCAGGGACGACTTGGAGTTCAAGGATACATTGGCATGCAGACTGGAGCATGGCCCCACTAAACGTCTTGATTAGTAAATGACCTGCTCTGAATCTTGAGCTACCCAGATGAAAGAGTCTGTGTTAAGATTTACAATGGGTGGTAGGTGGCATAATTTAGTTAGGTGGTCCATAAGGCCTCAGTGACACCTAGAGATCCTCTGGCAACCTCTGGCTGCTAGGGAAAAACATGCGTTCCCTGAATGGTTGGTAAGCGGTTGCTGGCCTTTGCAAGGTGAAATCGGTTATCAAAAGGATGATGCACCAAACACCTCTTTGTGATTCCTTTGGCCAATAGCAGGTTGCTGCAGCTGTCTGAAGTTTGCATGGAAGATGCAAACACTTGCTAACTACTAGCCGAACTTTAGTGAAACTTGGAAAAAATGCAACTCAAACTGAATTTCACCACTGCTGGGATAGCAGCAGTTAGCCAGCAGTTGGTGTCATCCATAGCTAGCTAACTACAGGCAACTGTAGGGTGACCAACTGTCCTCTTTTCCACGGACATGTACCCTTTTCACATTCTGTCCGGGGCGTCCGGGGGGATTTTCGAGATGGATGAAAATGCCTGGGTTTTCCTATTGGCCTACAGAGGACGCATATGTGTGACGTCATCCCC